CAGTTCTTCTTTCAAATGATCATACTGCATCCCTTTAAAACAAACAGTTCTTCTTTCAAATGATCACAAACTGCATCCCCTAAAAAACAAACAGTTCTTCTTTCAAATGATCATACTGCATCCCCTTTAAAACAAACAGTTCTTCTTTCAAATGATCATAGTTCTTCTTCTGCATCCCCTTTAAAACAAACAGTTCTTCTTTCAAATGATCATACTGCATCCTTTAAAACAAACAGTTCTTCTTTCAAATGAATTTAAAACAAACAGTTCTTTTTCAAATGATCATACTGCATCCCCTTTGCATCTTCTTTCAAATGATCTTTAAAACAAACAGTTCTTCTTTCAAATGATCTGCATCCCCTTTAAAACAAACACTTCTTCTTTCAAATGATCATACTGCATCCCCTTTAAAACAAACAGTTCTTCTTTCAAATGATCATACTGCATCCCCTTTAAAACAAAGTTCTTCTTTCAAATAATCATACTGCATCCCCTTTAAAGCAATCAGTTCTTCTTTCAAATGCATCCCCTTTAAAACAAACAGTTCTTCTTTTATGCTGCATCCCTTTAAAACAAACAGGTCTTCTTTCAAATGATCATACTGCATCCCCTTTAAAACAAACAGTTCTTCTTTCAAATGATCATACTGCATCCTCTTTAAAACAAACAGTTCTTCTTTCAAATGATCATACTGCATCCCCTTTAAAACAAACAGTTCTTCTTTCAAATAATCATACTGCATCCTCTTTAAAACAAACAGTTCTTCTTTCAAATGATCATAGTTCTTTCTGCATCCCCTTTAAAACAAAACAGTTCTTCTTTCAAATGATCATACTGCATCTTTAAAATAAGTTCTTCTTTTAAATCATACTGCAAAAACAGTTCAGTTCTTCTTTCAAATGATCATACTGCATCCCCTTTAAAACAAACAGTTCTTCTTTCAAATGATCATCCTCTTTAAAACAAACAGTTCTTCTTTGCATCCCCTTTAAAACAAACAGTTCTTCTTTCAAATGATTATGCTGCATCCTTTAAAAAAACAGTTCTTCTTTCAAATGATCATACTGCATCCCCTTTAAAACAAACAGTTCTTCTTTCAAATGATCATGCTGCATCCCTTTAAAACAAAACAGTTCTTCTTTCAAATGATCATGTTGCATCCCTTTAAAACAAAACAGTTCTTCTTTCAAATGATCATACTGCATCCCCTTTAAAACAAACAGTTCTTCTTTCAAATGATCATACTGCATCCCCTTTAAAACAAACAGTTCTTCTTTCAAATGATCATACCATCCCTTTTAAAACCAGTTCTTCTTTCAAATGAAAATCTTTAAAACAATCAGTTCTTCTTTCAAATGATCATACTGCATCCCTTTAAAAAAAACAGTTCTTCTTTCAAATGATCATACTGCATCCCTTTAAAACAAACAGTTCTTCTTTCAAATGATCATACTGCATCCCCTTTAAAACAAACAGTTCTTCTTTCAAATGATCATACTGCATCCCTTTAAAACAAACAGTTCTTCTTTCAAATGATCATACTGCATCCCCTTTAAAACAAACAGTTCTTCTTTCAAATGATCATACTGCATCCCCTTTAAAAAAACAGTTCTTCTTTCCAAATGATCATGCTGCATCAGTTCTTCTTTAAATTCAAACATCCCCTTTTAAAAAAACAGTTCTTCTTTCAAAAAATGACTGCATCCCCCTTAAAATCAGTTCTTCTTTCAAAAAACTTTAAAACAAACAGTTCTTCTTTCAAATGATCATACATCCCCTTTAAAGCAAACAGTTCTTCTTTCAAATAATCATACTGCATCCCCTTTAAAACTTTAAAAACAGTTCTTCTTTCAAATGATCATACTGCATCCCCTTTAAAACAAACAGTTCTTCTTTCAAATGATCATACTGCATCCCCCTTCTTTTAAAACAAACAGTTCTTCTTTCAAATAATCATACTGCATCCCCTTTAAAACAAACAGTTCTTCTTTCAAATGATCATACTTCATCCCTTTAAAACAAACAGTTTTCTTCTTTCAAATGATTATGCTGCATCCTTTCAAAAGCAATCAGTTCTTCTTTCAAATGATCATGCTGCATCCCCTTTAAAACAAGCAGTTCTTCTTTCTTTGCATCCCTTTAAAACAAACAGTTCTTCTTTCAAATGATCATCCCTTTTAAACAAACAGTTCTTCTTGCATCCCATCCTTTAAAACAATCAGTTCTTCTTTCAAATGATTATGCTGCATCCCCTTTAAAACAAATCCTCTTTAAAACAAACAGTTCTTCTTTCAAAATGATCAGTTCTTCTTTCAAATGATCATCCCTTTAAAACAAACAGTTCTTCTTTCAAATGATCATACTGCATCCCCTTTAAAACAAACAGTTCTTCTTTTCTTCTTTCAAATGATCATACTGCATCCCCTTTAAAACAAACAGTTCTTCTTTCAAAATGATCATGCATCCTCTTTAAAACAAACAGTTCTTCTTTCAAATGATTATACTGCATCCCTAAAAACAAACAGTTCTTCTTTCAAATAATCATACTGCATCCCCTTTAAAACAAACAAGTTCTTCTTTCAAATGATCATGTCACTGCATCCCCTTTAAAAAAACAGTTCTTCTTTCAAATGATCATAAAAAACAGTTCTTCATCCCTTTAAAACAAACAGTTCTTCTTTCAAATGATCATACTGCATCCTCTTTAAAACAAACATTTCTTCTTTCAAATGATCATACTGCATCCCCTTTAAAAAACAGTTCTTCTTTCAAATAATCATACTGCATCCTTTTAAAACAAACAGTTCTTCTTTCAAATAATCATACTGCATCCCCTTTAAAACAAACAGTTCTTCTTTCAAATGATCATATCCCTAAGTTCTTCTTTCAAATAATCATCCCTCTTTAAAACAAACAGTTCTTCTTTCAAATGATTATACTGCATCCCCTTTAAAACAAACAGTTCTTCTTTCAAATAATCATACTGCATCCCCTTTAAAACAAACAGTTCTTCTTTCAAATGATCATACTGCATCCCTTTAAAACAAACAGTTCTTCTTTCAAATGATCATACTGCATCCCCTAAAACAATCAGTTCTTCTTTCAAATAATTATACTGCATCCTTTAAAACAAATCAGTTCTTCTTTCAAATACTGCATCCCCTTTAAAACAAACAGTTCTTCTTTCAAATGATCATACTGCATCCCCTTTAAAACAAACAGTTCTTCTTTCAAATGATCATACTGCATGCCCTTTAAAACAAAGTTCTTCTTTCAAATAATCATACTGCATCCCCTTTAAAGCAATCAGTTCTTCTTTCAAATGATTATACTGATCATCCTTAAAACAAACAGTTCTTCTTTCAAATGATCATACTTCATCCCCTTTAAAACAAACAGTTCTTCTTTCAAATGATCATACTGCATCCCCTTTAAAACAAACAGTTCTTCTTTCAAATGATTGCATCCCCTTTAAAACAAACAGTTCTTCTTTCAAATGATCATACTGCATCCCTTTAAAACAAAGTTCTTCTTTCAAAGTTCTTCTTTCAAATGATCAAATACTGCATCCCCTTTAAAACAAACAGTTCTTCTTTCAAATGATCAACCATCCCCTTTAAATCAATACTGCATCCCCTTTAAAACAAAACAGTTCTTCTTTCAAATGATCATACTGCATCCCCTTTAAAACAAACAGTTCTTCTTTCAAATGATCATACTGCATCCCCTTTAAAACAAACAGTTCTTCTTTCAAATGATCATACTGCATCCCTTTTTAAAACAAACAGTTCTTCTTTCAAATGATCATACTGCATCCCTTTAAAACAAACAGTTCTTCTTTCAAATGATCATACTCCATCCCCTTTAAAACAAACAGTTCTTCTTTCAAATAATCATACTGCATCCCCTTTAAAACAAACAGTTCTTCTTTCAAATGATCATACTGCATCCCCTTTAAAACAAAAGTTCTTCTTTCAAATGATCATACTGCATCCCCTTTAAAACAAACAGTTCTTCTTTCAAATGATTATGCTGCATCCCTTTTAAAACAAACAGTTTCTTCTTTCAAATGATCTGCATCCCCTTTAAAAAAAACAGTTCTTCTTTCAAATGATCATACTGCATCCCCTTTAAAAACAAACAGTTCTTCTTTTTAAAACCAATCATACTGCATCCCTTTAAAGCAAACAGTTCTTCTTTCAAATGATTATGCTGCATCCCCTTTAAAACAAACAGTTCTTCTTTCAAATGATCATACTGCATCCCTTTAAAACAAACAGTTCTTCTTTCAAATGATCATACTGCATCCCCTTTAAAACAAACAGTTCTTCTTTCAAATGATCATACTGCATCCCCTTTAAAAAGTTCTTCTTTCAAAATAATTATGCTGCATCCCCTTTAAAACAAACAGTTCTTCTTTCAAATGATCATACTGCATCCCCTTTAAAACAAACAGTTCTTCTTTCAAATGACTGCATCCCTTTGCATCAGTTCTTTTCAAAAAACAAACAGTTCTTCTTTCAAATGATCATACTGCATCCCCTTTAAAACAAACAGTTCTTCTTTCAAATGATCATACTGCATCCCCTTTAAAACAAACAGTTCTTCTTTCAAATGATCATGCTGCATCCCTTTAAAACAAACAGTTCTTCTTTCAAATGATTCATGCTGCATCCCCTTTAAAACAAACAGTTCTTCTTTCAAATGATCATACTGCATCCCCTTTAAAACAAACAGTTCTTCTTTCAAATGATCATACTGCATCCTTTAAAACAAACAGTTCTTCTTTCAAATGATCATGCTGCATCCTTTAAAACAAACAGTTCTTCTTTCAAATGATCATACTGCATCCCCTTTAAAACAAACAGTTCTTCTTTCAAATGATCATACTGCATCCCCTTTAAAACAAACAGTTCTTCTTTCAAATGATCATACTGCATCCTCTTTAAATCAGTTCTTCTTTCAAAAAACATCTTTAAAACAAACAGTTCTTCTTTCAAATGATTTCTTCTTTAAACAAACATGTCTTCTTTCAAATGATCATACTGCATCCCTTTAAACAAACAGTTCTTCTTTCAAATGATCATACTGCATCCCCTTCAAAACAAACAGTTCTTCTTTCAAATGATTATACTGCATCCCCTTTAAAACAAACAGTTCTTCTTTCAAATGATCATACTCATCCCTTTAAAACAGTTCCTTTTAAAATCCCCTTTAAAAACAGTTCTTCTTTCAAATGATCATACTGCATCCTTTAAAACAATCAGTTCTTCTTTCAAATGATCATACTGCATCCCCTTTAAAACAAACAGTTCTTCTTTCAAATGATCATACTGCATCCCCTTTAAAACAAACAGTTCTTCTTTCAAATGATCATACTGCATCCTTCTTTCAAAAAGTTATGCTGCACAAACAGTTCTTCTTTCAAATGATTATACTGCATCCCCTTTAAAACAAACAGTTCTTCTTTCAAATGATCATACTGCATCCCCTTTAAAACAAACAGTTCTTCTTTCAAATGATCATACTGCATCCCCTTTAAAACAAACAGTTCTTCTTTCAAATGATCATACTGCATCCCCTTTAAAACAAACAGTTCTTCTTTCAAATAATCATACTGCATCCCCTTTAAAGCAATCAGTTCTTCTTTCAAATGATTATGCTGCATCCCCTTTAAAACAAACAGTTCTTCTTTCAAATGATCATACTGCATCCCCTTTAAAACAAACAGTTCTTCTTTCAAATGATCATACTGCATCCCCTTTAAAACAAACAGTTCTTCTTTCAAATGATTACGCTGCATCCTTTAAAACAAACAGTTCTTCTTTCAAAATGATCATATGCATCCCCTTTAAAACAAACAGTTCTTCTTTCAAATGATCATACTGCCTCCCCTTTAAATCAAACAGTTCTTCTTTCAAATGATCATACTGCATCCCCTTTAAAACAAACAGTTCTTCTTTCAAATGATCATACTGCATCCCCTTTAAAACAAACAGTTCTTCTTTCAAATGATTATGCTGCATCCCGTTCAAAACAACAGTTTCTTCTTTCAAATGATCATACTGCATCCCCTTTAAAACAAAATTCTTTCAAATGATCATACTGCATCCCCTTTAAAACAAACAGTTCTTCTTTCAAATGATCATACTGCATCCCTTTAAAACAAGTTCTTCTTTCAAATGATCATACTGCATCCCCTTTAAAACAAACAGTTCTTCTTTCAAATGATTATACTGCATCCCTTTAAAACAAACAGTTCTTCTTTCAAATGATCATACTGCATCCCTTTAAAACAAACAGTTCTTCTTTCAAATGATCATACTGCTCCCCTTTAAAACAAACAGTTCTTCTTTCAAATGATTATACTGCATCCCCTTTAAAACAAACAGTTCTTCTTTCAAATGATCATACTGCATCCCCTTTAAAACAAACAGTTCTTCTTTTTCAAATAAAACAAACAGTTCTTCTTTCATACTGCATCCCCTTTAAAACAAACAGTTCTTCTTTCAAATGATCTGCATCCCCTTTAAAACTGCAGTTCTTCCAAATGATTTAAAAAACAAACAGTTCTTCTTTCAAATAATCATACTGCATCCCCTTTAAAACAAACAGTTCTTCTTTCAAATGATCATACTGCATCCCTTTAAAACAAACAGTTCTTCTTTCAAATGATCATACTGCATCCCTTTAAAACAAACAGTTCTTCTTTCAAATGATCATACTGCATCCCCTTTAAAACAAAAGTTCTTCTTTCAAATAATCATACTGCATCCCAGTTCTTCTTTCAAATGATCATACTGCATCCCTTTAAAACAAGCAGTTCTTCTTTCAAATGATCATACTGCATCCCCTTTAAAACAAACAGTTCTTCTTTCAAATGATCATACTGCATCCCCTTTAAAACAAACAGTTCTTCTTTCAAATGATCATACTGCATCCCCCTTTAAAACAAACAGTTCTTCTTTCAAATGATCATACTAAAACAAAGTTCTTCTTTCAAATAATCATCCCCTTTAAAACAAACAGTTCTTCTTTCAAATGATTATACTGCATCCCCTTTAAAACAAACAGTTCTTCTTTCAAATGATCATACTGCATCCCCCTTTAAAACAAACAGTTCTTCTTTTCAAATGATCATACTGCATCCCCTTTAAAACAAACAGTTCTTCTTTCAAATGATCATACTGCATCCCTTTAAAACAAACAGTTCTTCTTTCAAAAATGCATCCCCTTTAAAACAAACAGTTCTTCTTTCAAATGATCATGCTGCATCTTTAAAACAAACAGTTCTTCTTTCAAATGATCATACTGCATCCCCTTTAAACAAACAGTTCTTCTTTCAAATGATCATACTCCATCCGCTTTAAAACAAACAGTTCTTCTTTCAAATGATCATACTGCATCCCCTTTAAAACAAACAGTTCTTCTTTCAAATGATCATACCGCATCCGCTTTAAAGCAAACAGTTCTTCTTTCAAATGATCATACTGCATCCCCTTTAAAGCAATCAGTTCTTCTTTCAAATGATCATACTGCATCCCCTTTAAAACAAACAGTTCTTCTTTCAAATGATTATGTTGCATCCCCTTTAAAACAAACACTTCTTCTTTCAAATGATCATCCATCCCTTTATAGCAATCAGTTCTTCTTTCAAATTATCATACTGCATCCTCTTTAAAGCAATCAGTTCTTCTTTCAAATGATTATGCTGCATCCCCTTTAAAACAAACACTTCTTCTTTCAAATGATTATGCTGCATCCTCTTTAAAACAAACAGTTCTTCTTTCAAATGATCATACTGCATCCCCTTTAAAACAAACAGTTCTTCTTTCAAATGATCATACTGCATCCCCTTTAAAACAAACAGTTCTTCTTTCAAATGATCATACTGCATCCCCTTTAAAACAAACAGTTCTTCTTTCAAATGATCATTAAAACAAACAGTTCTTCTTTCAAATGATCATACTGCATCCCTTTAAAACAAACAGTTCTTCTTTCAAATGATCATACTGCATCCCTTTAAAACAAACAGATCTTCTTTCAAATGATCATACTGCATCCCCTTTAAAAAACAGTTCTTCTTTCAAATGATCATACTGCATCCTCTTTAAAACAAACAGTTCTTCTTTCAAATGATCATACTGCATCCCCTTTAAAAAAAACAGTTCTTCTTTCAAATGATCGCTGCATCCCTTTAAAACAAACAGTTCTTCTTTCAAATGATCATACTGCATCCCTTTAAAACAAACAGTTCTTCTTTCAAATGAATGATGCATCCCTTTAAAACAAACAGTTCTTCTTTCTGCATACTGCATCCTCTTTAAAACAAAGTTTCTTCTTTCAAATGATCAACTGCATCCTTTAAAGCAAACAGTTCTTCTTTCAAATGATCATACTGCATCCCTTTAAAACAAACAGTTCTTCTTTCAAATGATCATACTGCACCCCTTTAAAACAAACAGTTCTTCTTTCAAATGATCATACTGCATCCTCTTTAAAACAAACAGGTCTTCTTTCAAATGATCATACTGCATCCCCTTTAAAACAAACAGTTCTTCTTTCAAATGATTATGCTGCATCCCCTTTAAAACAAACAGGTCTTCTTTCAAATGATCATACTGCATCCCTTTAAAACAAACAGTTCTTCTTTCAAATGATCATTAAAACAAACCCTTCTTCTTTCAAATGTCATCCATCCCCTTTAAAACAAACAGTTCATACTGCATCCCTTTAAAACAAAAGTTCTTCTTTCAAATGATCATACTGCATCCCCTTTAAAACAAACAGTTCTTCTTTCAAATGATCATACTGCATCCCCTTTAAAACAAAATCTTCTTTTTCTTCTTTCAAAACAGTTCTTCATCAAATGCATCCCCTTTAAAACAAACAGTTCTTCTTTCAAATAATCATACTGCATCCCCTTTAAAACAATCAGTTCTTCTTTCAAATGATTATACTGCATCCCTTTAAAACAAACAGTTCTTCTTTCAAATGATCATGCTGCATCCCCTTTAAAACAAACAGTTCTTCTTTCAAATGATCATACTGCATCCCCTTTAAAACAAACAGTTCTTCTTTCAAATGATCATACTGCATCCCTTTAAAACAAACAGTTCTTCTTTCAAATGATCATACTGCATCCCCTTTAAAACAAACAGTTCTTCTTTCAAATGATCATACTGCATCCCTTTAAAACAAACAGTTCTTCTTTCAAATGATCATACTGCAACCCCTTTAAAACAAACTTTAAAGTTCTTCTTTCAAATGATCATACTGCATCCCTTTAAAACAAACAGTTCTTCTTTCAAATGATCATACTGCATCCCCTTTAAAACAAACAGTTCTTCTTTCAAATGATCATACTGCATCCCTTTTAAAACAACAGTTCTTCTTTCAAATGATCATACTGCATCCCTTTAAAACAAACAGTTCTTCTTTCAAATGATTATACTGCATCCCCTTTAAAACAAACAGTTCTTCTTTCAAATAATCATACTGCATCCCCTTTAAAACAAACAGTTCTTCTTTCAAATGATCATACTGCATCCCTTTAAAACAAACAGTTCTTCTTTCAAATGATCATACTGCATCCCTTTAAAACAAACAGTTCTTCTTTCAAATGATCATACTGCATCCCTTTAAAACAAACAGTTCTTCTTTCAAATGATCATACTGCATCCCCTTTAAAACAAAAGTTCTTCTTTCAAATGATCATACTGCATCCCTTTTAAAACAAACAGTTCTTCTTTCAAATGATCATACTGCATCCCTTTAAAACAAACAGTTCTTCTTTCAAATGATCATACTGCATCCCTTTAAAACAAACAGTTCTTCTTTCAAATGATTATGCTGCATCCCCTTTAAAACAAACAGTTCTTCTTTCAAATGATCATACTGCATCCCTTTAAAACAAACAGTTCTTCTTTCAAAAATGATCCCCTTTAAAACAAACAGTTCTTCTTTCAAATGATCATACTGCATCCCCCCAAACAGTTCTTCTTTCAAATGAAACTGCATCCCTTTAAAACAAACAGTTCTTCTTTCAAATGATCATACTGCATCCCCTTTAAATCCCCTTTAAAAGAGTTCAAACAAACAGTTCTTCTTTCAAATGATCATACTGCATCTTCTAAAAAACAAACAGTTCTTCTTTCAAATGATCATGCATCCCTTTAAAACAAACAGTTCTTCTTTCAAATGATTATGCTGCATCCCTTTAAAACAAACAGTTCTTCTTTAAAATGATCATACTGCATCCCCTTTAAACAAACAGTTCTTCTTTCAAATGATCATACTGCATCCCCTTTAAAACAAACAGTTCTTCTTTCAAATGATTATGCTGCATCCCCTTTAAAACAAACAGTTCTTCTTTCAAATGATTATGCTGCATCCCCTTTAAAACAAACAGTTCTTCTTTCAAATGATCATACTGCATCCAGTTCTTCTTAAAAAATGTTCTTCTTTAAAACAAACAGTTCTTCTTTCAAATGATTATACTGCATCCCCTTTAAAACAAACAGTTCTTCTTTCAAATGATCATACTGCATCCCCTTTAAAACAAACATATTCTTCTTTCAAAAATCATATCCATCCCCTTCAAAAACAAACAGTTCTTCTTTCAAATGATCATACTGCATCCCCTTTAAAACAAACAGTTCTTCTTTCAAATGATCATACTGCATCCCTTTAAAACAAACAGTTCTTCTTTCAAATGATTATACTGCATCCCTTTAAAACAAACAGTTCTTCTTTCAAATGATTATGCTGCATCCCCTTTAAAACAAACAGTTCTTCTTTCAAATGATCATAATGCATCCCTTTAAAACAAACAGTTCTTCTTTCAAATGATCATACTGCATCCCCTTTAAAACAAACAGTTCTTCTTTCAAATGATAATACTGCATCCCCTTTAAAGCAATCAGTTCTTCTTTCAAATGATTATACTGCATCCCCTTTAAAACAAACAGTTCTTCTTTCAAATGATCATACTGCATCCCCTTTAAAACAAACAGCTCTTCTTTCAAATGATCATACTGCATCCCCTTTAAAACAAACAGGTCTTCTTTCAAATGATCATACTGCATCCTCTTTAAAACAAACAGGTCTTCTTTCAAATGATCATACTGCATCCCCTTTAAAACAATCAGTTCTTCTTTCAAATGATTATGCTGCATCCCTTTAAAAAACAAACAGTTCTTCTTTCAAATGATCATACTGCATCTTTAAAACAAACAGTTCTTCTTTCAAAAATCCCCTTTAAAACAGTTCTTCTTTCAAATGATCATACTGCATCCCCTTCTTTTAAAACAAACAGTTCTTCTTTCAAATGATCATACTGCATCCCCTTTAAAACAAACAGTTCTTCTTTCAAATGATCATACTGCATCCCCTTTAAAACAAACAGTTCTTCTTTCAAATGATTATGCTGCATCCCCTTTAAAACAAACAGTTCTTCTTTCAAATGATCATACTGCATCCCCTTTAAAACAAAACAAATGATTATGCTGCATCCCTTTAAAACAAACACTTCTTCTTTCAAATGATCATACTGCATCCTCTTTAAAACAAACAGTTCTTCTTTCAAATGATCATACTGCATCCCCTTTAAAGCAAACAGTTCTTCTTTCAAATGATCATACTGCATCCCCTTTAAAACAAACAGTTCTTCTTTCAAATGATCATACTGCATCCCTTTAAAACAAGCAGTTCTTCTTTCAAAAACTGCATCCCTTTAAAACAATCAGTTCTTCTTTCAAATGATTATACTGCATCCCCTTTAAAACAAACAGTTCTTCTTTCAAATGATCATACTGCATCATCTTTAAAACCAACATTTCTTCTTTCAAAATCATACTTCATCCCCTTTGCAAACAGTTCTTCTTTCAAATGATCATACTGCATCCCCTTTAAAACAAACAGTTCTTCTTTCAAATGATTATCTGCATCTTTAAAACAAACAGTTCTTCTTTCAAATGGGTATACTGCATCCCTTTAAAACAAACAGTTCTTCTTTCAAATGCATCAAACAGTTCTTCTTTCAAATGCATCCCCTTTAAAACAAACAGTTCTTCTTTCAAATGATCATACTTCAAACAAACATCCCTTTAAAACAAACAGTTCTTCTTTCAAATGATTATACTGCATCCCCTTTAAAACAAACAGTTCTTCTTTCAAATGATCATACTGCATCCTCTTTAAAACAAACAGTTCTTCTTTCAAATGATCATACTGCATCCCCTTTAAAACAAACAGTTCTTCTTTCAAATGATCATACTGCATCCCCTTTAAAACAAACAGTTCTTCTTTCAAATGATTATACTGCATCCCTTTAAAACAAACAGTTCTTCTTTCAAATGATCATACTGCATCCCTTTAAAACAAACAGTTCTTCTTTCAAATGATCATACTGCATCCCTTTAAAGCAAACAGTTCTTCTTTCAAATGATCATACTGCATCCCTTTAAAACAAAACAAACAAAGTTCTTCTTTCAAAATGATCAAATGACTGCATCCCTTTAAAACAAACAGTTCTTCTTTCAAATGATCATACTGCATCCCTTTAAAACAAACAGTTCTTCTTTCAAATGATCATCAAACAGGTCTTCTTTCAAATGATCATACCATCCCTTTAAAACAAACAGTTCTTCTTTCAAATGATCATACTGCATCCCCTTTAAA